AGCCTTTATCATTCAAATATTAAATTATAGCAAATCCCAAAATTCAATATTTATCTCAAAGTCTTCATATAGAGGACAGGAAGATTTATTAGTCTATCATTAAAGTTCAGTCGTAAAAAAGCTGATTAAATCTTGAAGGTATCAATTAGACAGTGTGCTCTCTTGTTTTCTTCGCCTAATAGGTTATTTATGTAGTTCATTTTAATCCCTGTTCATGGCCATGGTGAAGGTAGGGGGGGGGGAAATCTTCACCCTTCCCTTCCAATCTTTTTAAACTTTGAAAAGGCTGACATTATATAGTAGAGTTTCAGATAGAGTTGCTTTACGAAGTACTCACGGTGATATGCTTCATTGGTGTTGTGGATGAGGTACAAACTTTTAAGTCCCTTTTAATGGATAGCAACAGCTAGGCACTCATGCTGCCATGAGTGCTCTTCTCGTTTCTTGCTGGGGAGAATCCAAGGGCTTCCACTCTCCTGTCGCCACAGGCAGGGGGCCTGGATCGCTTCCCTTGCACTGCACCCCCCTCCAGGGAGTTCAGCGGCACTCAGGAGCCCCTGAGTCTCCTCTAAAGGTAAGGAGAAGCAAGCGGTGCCTGGGAGCAAGTCCCAGCTCCATCCATCTCGCAGCGCTGCAACCCGAAACCACAAGGTACAAAGATCTTAAAAGTACTGCTTTGTTGTCAGTTCCCTGTATAAGCTCTGTAATCGTTTACCCACAACATCCAGGATTTTGTTTTTAAAACCAAAGCATCCGTGCAACAAACTGTACAGAGCCATTGCAATGAATATTTTGAGTATGTTCAGCAAGCAAGATTTTCTTCCCTGTTACAAAGCCTCATCTTGTACTTAGGCTAATGTCCTTTCTCCACCCAAATCTATTGGTTTAGGTGCAAAAGTTTTAGTTTACTTTCAAGCTCAAGCCAAAAGAAGCATGGGAACAACTTCTGCAAGTCCCAATCCCCAAAAAGGATACCCTTTGTCTACTATGTAATGCTGCACAGAGATTACTCATAGCCTGAACATTGATATGTTTCAGCATTCTTGCAATTTACTTCAATATTAGCTTTACTGAAAATAATACACATCTCATGAAACAAGTTTTATTACAGAAGGGATATTGTAGCCAAAAGTTTATTTAAAGCAGTGTATTTCTAAGTCAGACAAAGACAAATAAACAGCAAATACAAAAAGTGTACAATTGCACATAAGTGTACAAAAATAATTCTTTCAGTGGAAAAGGGAAAATCCACAACCTTGTTTTTTAAAAATTCCTGTTACAGTTAGGCTGTGTGGCTTAGGTGCTTTCTGTTTTCCAAGAAAAAAGTTAATCTGATGGCTCAGCTATTGTTCCTTCTGCCTTCATTTTTTTTCCTTTGGAAATGAGCCTCTGGGTTGGGATTGTTAGATAAAGGAGGGACAACAGGGAGGGGGCTTTAACCCTTTCCTCCCCAATCTCCTTTTACTCCTGCTGGGGAAACATTCAGGTACCT